CAATTTCTGTGGCCAGACAGTTCACAAAATAATTCTGGATGGGCCATATAAATATCTTTTTTTATCTGTTTCTTGTCACATATTATGGTCTCATGGCTGACTGAGTGATCCAATTACCCAAGTTCACACAAGATGCTGAGCCATAAACTAAACTTGTATGCTATCCTGTTGTGCAAACACAGCCTTTAGATGGGCCATTTTTGTTTACACTAAATCAGTGGTTCTCAACCTTTCTAATGCCGCGACCCCATAATAAGGTTCCCCATGTTGTGGTGACCCCCAACCACTTATACATCACCGGGTGCCAGGGGTGTGGCCAAAGAAAAGGGGGAAAAATGGCAGACAGCCTTGTTTGGCGACCCCCGTGAAATGGTCGTTCGACCCCAAATGGGGTCCCGACCCACAGGTTGAGAACCACTGCACTAAATAGTATTTTAGATGCCCAGATGCTTACTTCAAAAGAGTAATAATATAATATAGGATATTTACCTCCTTACCCCCAATACATGATATTCATGCTTTCTTTGGCCTTCAAGAGATAAAATGTTTCTTGATTTTATTTTCACAAGAACTTGATTAAATACATTTGGCTGCTTTCAAGCAATTGCTCTTCAGTTCAACTCAGCAGAGTTGCTGTGGGAAAAATAGGAGAGTATTATGTTCAGTGCCTTGAGTTGTACCTTTATACAACAACGGTGCTATAAATCAAATTAAAAAAATATCCTGTTCTGTATTAACCCAGAGGACAGGACATAAAGTAATCATTTTAAATTACGGAGAAGCAGACTGCAGATGAATGTGGGCACAACTTCCTAAGGAAATCAGTTGTGGACTCATCATTTCAGCAAGGACTGAATTTCCCTTCCCTGGAGAGGGTTGAGCTAAAAACCAGACAGCAGCCAACTAGGAAGTGATTGTCAACACTAAGGGTTGTGCATGGAGGCTAGTCCTTTTCTTTCTTTGTTTAGCAGAGCATCAGCTATCCCACTCCATCTCTGAAGCAGATGAAAAGTAGATGGGAGAACTGGCACCTTCAGCGCCAGATGCTTACTACAATTTCTATAGGTATCTGTCAAGATAAACTCCCTTGGTTTAGCAATTGGAAGAGAAATCCTCAGGATGTCAACAGCCTGTCAAATGCTCAAGCCTCCCCCCTCCCCCCCCCAATCGAAATTGGAGCTATGTTTATTTCATGCCCAGGATATAGTACCTTGAAGGAATCAAAGGTTCCCCAGCCATTTGTGCTCTGAACAAACAAACCTGAGTGCCATTTGTTATCAGCTTTCTGAGCCCTCGTAGTGCAGTAGCTAGAATGCTACTGCGAGCTGACTCTGCCCACAGCCAGGAGTTCAATCCTGACCAGCTCCAGGTTGACTCAGCCTTCCATTCTCCCAAGGTTAATAAAATGAGGACTCAGATTGTTGGGGGCAATATGCTGACATTGTAAACTGCTCAGCACCGGGAAGCGATATATAAGTCTAAGTGCTATTGCTAACAGACACATGCTAGCAATTAAAAGTGCTTGATGGCAACTTCTCATTTCCAGATGTGCCATACTCAGTGGTGGGATTCAGCCAGTTTGCACCACTTTGGCAGAACTGGTAGCTAATTTTTTGTTGCCCAGGCCCAGAATGGATGTCCAGAAGCGGTATCCACACAGAACCGGTTGTTCACATATTTGAATCCCACCACTGGCCATACTGCCACATCCATCATCCTCAGACAGCATATGCTGTATTGTAGAGGCTAGAATATATTGATTTAGATATAAGTATATTACAGCCTCTGGTATGTGTCAGTCAGGCCAACTACCTAGTGATGGACAAAAGCACATCGGTAGAGCAAAATTAGACAAATCCAGTTTAGAAGGCTCCTAGTGCAGTCCTCTAAGGCAGTCCCAATTGTATAGGGCAGGGGTAGGCAACCTTGGCATTTTTATGACTGGTGGACTTCAACTCCCATAATTCCTTAGCCAGCCATGCTGAGGGGAAAGAGAGAGGTTTCCAAGCTGAGCCATGCTGGCTTAGGAATTCTGGGAGTTGAAGTCCACGAGTCATAAAAGAGCCAAGGTTGCCTACCCCTGGTATAGGTAGTCCTTGATTTACAAGCTTGTTTAGTGACTGTTCAAAATTACAACAGCATTAAAGTGACTTATGATCGTTTTTCACACTTACCACCACTGCAGCATCCCCATGGTCACATGATCAAAACAGACACTTGGTAACTGCTTCATATTTATGATGGTTGCAGTGTCCTGGGGTCATGTGATCACTCTTTTGCGAATCTTTGCCAGGCAAAGTCAATGGGGAAGCCGTGTTATTAACTTAACAACTGCAGTGATTCACTTAACGACTATGGCAAGGTCGTAAAATGGGGCAAAACTTACTTAAGAACTGTTTAGCAATGGAAATTTTGGGCTCAATTGTGGTTGTAAGTCGAGGACTACCTGCAAGGAGCAATGAGGATAACCTTTGAGGAACAGGAGGAAGAGATGCAATAATAAATAATGTCCAGTTAAGAGAAATCTGAGTCCAGGGCAGGAATTAATTCGAAAAAGTATCTCTGACTTGAATATCTCTCTCATTCTGTGGACTATTGTAAAGACAAAGGGGTGGGAGGCACATTCAGACATGCAAGATTGTTACTTCAGCCTTATGATAGAAATATTAGCATTCATAATTTTATTTCTTAAGTCTGGTCAACTTCAAACGGCCATTAGTGATTTAGGTTACGAGTGTGATAGTCCAGCAGACCTGTGCATAGTTGACTCAGGATCCATCCATAACATTTCCATTTGCTTAAAAATTGAGCCTGTGCAACTTCAGAATAAAAGTGGATAAACATTGCTGCTTTTGTTCCTATTAATTTGTGAGGTTTTCAGCTGTTTAATTTCCAGTCTGAAGTAATTGGCCACCAAAAACATTTATAGCAGTGGTTCTCAACCTTTTTAATGCTATGACCCCCAACCGGTCATAAGTCAAGGACTACTCAACCAGTCGTAAGTCGAGGACTATTCAACTGGTGCAGCACCGTTTGCAGACTGGGACTTTTGGCAGGCTCAGCAGGGCAGAGACAGTCTGGACAATTCCTATTGGCTTTTGAAAGCCAATTGAATTAGACTCTATTCAAGAGAGTCTATTCTATTGGCTTTCAAAAGCCAATAGAATAAAAGGGAGTAGCACAGCTAAGGAAAAGGGGAAAAAAATGGCGCCCGTGAAATGGTCGTTCGACCCCAAATGGGGTCCCGACCCACAGGTTGAGAACCACTGATTTATAGGGTACTAGCATTCTTAAAAAATTGGATTATTAGAAAGCCATCACTTCTAAGAATGTATTAGGGTCCAAAATTCAGGATGTGACTTGGAAGGTAACAGGCACGCTTTCTCTGATCTGGATTTCCAACACTTAGGGATATACCGTCTCTGACCATGGAGGTTCAGCTTAGCTACGATGGCTAACAATTCTCAGATTTTCCTGCTCCATTAATCTGTTAAATGTTTGTCAAAATAAATGAACTTTAGGCAGTCATCTCAGTTATGCCCTGCATAACAGCTATTTTACTATATTAATATATACTTCTGTTGTGGAAATGCCAAGATTAAAAGGCCATAATCAAACGTCACCAGCAAACAGGACAAAAACAAAATTTATCTAGCTAAATCATTGATGATTCAGTACAGGTAGTCCTCGACTTACCATCCTTTGTTTAGTGATCATTTAAAGTTATGATGGCACTGAAAAAAATCACGACTGCTGCAGCATCTCCATCATTGAAAATCTGATCGAAAATTTGGGTGCTTGGCATTTGACATGTATTTATGACAGTTGTACTGTCCCAGAGTCATGTGATTACCATTTATAACCGTCTCAGCCAGCTTCTGACGAGCAACGGCAATGGGGGAAGCCAGGTTTGCTTAAGTACAGTGATTTGCTTAACAACTGTGGCGGAAAAAATCGCAAAATAGGGCAAAACTGACTTAACAACTGCCTTGCCTAGCAGTGGAAAACTTGGGCTCAAATATGGTTGTTAAGCCGAGGACTACCTGTATATCGACACCAAACACAGCTAAGAATGTTTAATTCTGCAGCAAAAATTCTTTTCTGTTCTCTCCCCAAAGATACCTGTAAAGCAGGTGTTCTCAACCTTTTATTCATTTATTTGTAAAATTTATTAGCCACCCCTCTTGCTGTGCAGTAACTTAAAAAGAACTTCGGAGGAATCTTTGAAATAGTTTCCAGATCTCGGGGGGGGGGGGATATGAAAACCTCACAGCACTCTTCACTTCCCACTTATAGAATCCATATTTTACCTTTACAGCATCAGCAAAAGCGGCAGGCCAGCCGCTAACTCGACTCTGGTTAAAAATGCCTGCCACTACGAATGCTAGCACTGCATGGCACATGACGCTTTTCAATTGCAAACTAAGGTTACTTATTTATTTAAAAGATTTGTATGGCTGCCTACACCTTAGGAATACATCTCTTGAGTGGCTCACAATAAAAGCTGCAGACTTTTAATCCATTTAGTGCAATTTTGATCTTGGGTGCAACTTTAGTGTTTTTATTACGACTTTTCAGAAACTTCTATTCTCTACTTTCCATCCTAGTCCATTTTCAGACAGGTGTGCACATATAAACATACTTGTCATTAGCAAAACATTGTTTCTCTTCCTAGCAAGTAAATGAATTGCAGGTGAAGAGGAATCAGAGGGAAATAATGAGGAAAGTTTTGTCACCAATGTTTACCTTTGTTAATGCATAAGAGAATATCAGAAAGCTTTGTATATCGTATTCAGCTGTATTTGAAATTTCCTCAATATTAAATGAATATCAAAGTCTTTTTCTTAGGCATCATCACAGAAGGATATTGCTTGTTTTCTAGAACACCCTGACTACTTTTTGATGCCTATTTGAGCCATATTAAAGTTATAATCCCCCAAATGACGACGTTATCGAAATCTGGTAACTCGACCCGAGGTTTAAAAGATCCAACACAGGAGTTGCTTCAAGTTAAAGATTTATTTTTTCTGGACCTCCAAAATTTCCTGGACAATCCCAACCCAATCAAAAAGAGTTTTCTGTCACGGCTGGGGTTTTCATCTTTTAAAAAAGAAATGGCTTTTGGAAACACAGGTTCACAACTGTTGGTCAAACTGCTCCAGCTTAAAACTTCACATGGACAAACTTATCCTTCCTGATTTGTAAGTAATCCAGCTCCTACGCAAAAAGCAAGACTAGAATTTCAGAAATGCAAACTTTGATTCGCACCAGGTCTAAGGCAGACCGATGATGCAATTGTGAAAAATGCCAGAGAAATTTAACAATTATGTCTACACTACAGCTTCAAACCAGTTTTAAATCTATTTGACCCATCAGGGAAGTCTTGGGGTTAATCTGGAAATGACATGGATTCTTTAGGAGAACGGAACTTCAATTGTTTATACTGGTGTAAAATTCTATATGGAACTGAAGTGCAAGAGAAAAAAAAACGGCATTAAGGTATCTTAACTTTGGATAGAAAATCAGTAAGAATGCTTTTCTAAGCCCACTAAATTCAAACAGAGAGGATGGAGAATAAAGCAATAGTTTTGATGTACAAACAAAAGCGGGCCCCACTACAAACACTGAAATTCAGAAGAACGGTGTACAGAAAAATTAAAACCCTATACGCTTGCTATCCACCAGAACTTAAAACATTATATCTAAATATTCTCAAGCTTACAGAAAAAGGGGGAATTAGGAGGAACTTTTTATTAAAATGCAAGATGTCATTGGAACGGGAGCCCTTCCTGATACAGTAACATTTGTAGGTCTGTTCTTAAATTAGGTATCTCGCTTTAACTAACAAAATACCATACCCCAGACCCCCAAAAGGGTTGCCTGCACAGTATTAATCCCCTCCCACCCTGCTTTATATATAGTCTTATATATATATTTATATATATTTATATTTATATATGCATTTATTTATATATAATTTTTTTGCAACAAACTCTTATATCAGCACTAGATCTAGTACCAATATGCTAGTATGAATGGGTATAGAAAGGTCTATACTTCTGCCTCTACTACTAAAAAAAAAATTATGGGATTGAAGAGGCAAAATAAAACTATGACTCCCCCCTCCCCAATATTTCACTGAATTTGTCAGGGGGCATGGGAAGAGGAAGTGCGGTTTAAAGCCAACATTAGTCAAGATGCTAGCAGTAGAAGGGGAAGCGGTTACATTTCTAAGGATGGGACTGAACACACCAGAGACAATAGCTTTTTGCACCCATGTTGTGCTTATAAAGCGGGGACCCTGTTCCCCCCCCCCATACTAGGTACTCTCTACTTATTCCCCTGGCTGGGAATTATGGGAGCTTAGTCCAACACGTATGGAGGGCACCGGTAAAATAATGGTTCACCTATGGCAAGGCCGTTTTTTTTCCCCCACAACAATTGGTAGCAACAGAGATGTGGACTTTTGTCTCGTGGTGTTTTTATTTATTTCTTTTTTTTTTTTAAACACAAAAAATGTACTTCTCTGGTCCCTTCTGTTCCACATGACTAAATTGCACACTGTTCTTAGATAGCCAAGTAAAAACCTTTCTAGAAAACAATGAAAAGGGGAGGAAGATTCAATCAGAAGTTGCTCTTTTGTACGAAAAAAAAAATATTCATCTCCACACAGCTCACTTTTCTCTTTGGGAGCGTCAGACTTATTTTTTGTTATTTTTCTTTCTTTCTTTTTTTAAAAAAACCAACAAACATGTTCATTCACTTCAAGATTGAGAAGATTCAATAGAGCTGTTTTATATAAATTGTCCAGTAATTCTTTAAACCAGCAAAGGCCCAGAGCAGAACATCTGTCTGAAACAAGATTCTATTAAAAAAAAAAAAAATGAAAACAAGATGCACATCTGTGTTCAGTTGCTCCATTTCTTCTGGTGGGTGGCAAGTCCGTCTGCATTTGCTCTTAGTATAAGTTATTACTGGGTTAAAAAGAAAACAAAATGAAACCTCCAAACCAAACACCAAACCCCACTGTTGTCCATTAGAATAGGGCCTCCTCAGGAATTACGGTGGGGTTTAGAGAAAACAAGGCCGTGAGGAAACCGGTCCAAGCTTTCTGATTCATTTTTTTCACTCTTGCTAGGTCCCACTTCTGCTTTCTGTGAACGGGCGAAGTACATCCTTGGTCATGAGGGGCCACTGTATGATCAACCAAAGTAAAATTCAGCTAAGGTAACTAAAAAAAGAGACGGTATGTAAGAAGGGGAAGGACTGAGACCCGAAGCAACTGAGCATCAGTCTCTTTCACAAATCCTTGTTCCATACTAGTGCTGATCAAAAAATAATAATAATAACAACCCCCAAACTAAAGAGACAAAATACACAGAGAAAATAATAATAATATTAAATTGAGATTCTCCTTGGGGATGGCCTCAACCATCTCCCCCCCCAAAAAAAATTTTGCAAGAACTTGGTAGCCTAAATGTTCATTACCACCCTTTTGAGCGTCCATTCTATCCAGCAGGAAGCAAAATGGCCCCTGATGGGGCTGGCAAAAAAAACCATAAAAAATACTTTCTGGCAAACCCCGCAGGCAGATCCAGTTAGACTTGAAAGCGGCTTTTCCACTGTGTGGAGAGATTTTGGGAGGGAAGGATGGCAGAACCAAAAGAAGAAGAAGAAGGAAGAAAAAAGCCCAAGAAGATGTCATAGGGAAAAAAAATTGAAGTCTTCCATTCGGGGCGGAAGTTCCTGTGTTATTTCCATGTGGCCGATTGAGGGATGGACCGTGGAGGAATCATATCCAAGAGATACTCGCGGTGGCGATCTACGGCCGAGGAGGAGGTTTTGTGCACGGTGAGACTAGGGTTAACAAAGTTCAACGTCCCTCCTGGAGAAAGGGAACACAAAGGGTGCGTTGAAACAAACTCTAAAGCAAGAGGCCGCTTTCCCCGTCTAATAGTGCCTAGGACAGTGTTTCTCAACCGTAGCAGCTTGAAGATATGTGGACTCCAACTCCCAGAATTCCCACAGCTGGCTGGGGAATTCTGGGAGTTGGAGTCCACACATCCTCAAGGTGCCAGGATTAAAAAAACACTGATCTAGACCAGGGGTAGGCAACCTTGGCTCTTTTATGACTCATGGACTTCAACTCCCAGAATTCCTGAGCCAGCATGACTCAGCATGGAAACATCTCCATTTCTCCTCAGCATGGCCGGCTCAGGAATTCTGGGAGTTGAAGTCCACGAGTCTTAAAAGAGCCAAGGTTGCCTACCCCTGCTCTAGACTCTCTCTCCCCTTTCTGGTCTTCCCCAGATGTTTCAAGGTGGCCATGTCTTAAATTTCCCACAAGGAACTACATTCTCAATAACACTGAGTAACAGCCAGATTGGGAAAAGTTATACGTCTGGGGACAAAGCCAGCACAGAATAAGTGTGAGGTAAATATTTTGGGGGAAAATCTTAAAATTTGAGTTTGCAAAATACAATTAAACAAACTATACAGACAGACACAGATGAAGAAAAGCCCAAAGCAAAAAAACACACCCACAAGTACCAAACACATTCTGCCATTATATGCAGGCAGTCTTTGACTTACGACCACTTTGTTTGAACAACGGTGCAAAGTTACAATGGCCTCGGAAAAAAGGACTTATGACCCATCTTCAGAGTTACAACTGACATAGCACCCTGGTTGTCACAGGACTGCAATTCGGATGCTTGGCAACTGGCTCGCATTTATGACCGTTTGCAGCAACGTGCCGTTACTTAAATGCCATTTGTAACTTTCCCAGCTGGCTTCTGACAAGCAAAGTTAATTGGGGAAGCCTGATGCATTTAATAAGTGCACGATTCACTTAACAACCACGATGACTTGTTTAATATCTGCTATCACTTAGCCAATGGGGATGGAAAGGTTCTCCTTGTTGCGACTGTGGTGCTGATATGCAAACTATTAAACATTTTGTGCAAGACTGCCCATGACGTGCGTTCTCTTGTTCTCTAGAACAGTGGTTCAAAACCTTTTTAATGCCGCGACCCCCAACCGGTCGTAAGTCGAGGACTACTAAACCAGTCGTAAGTCGAGGACTACTCAACTGGTGCAGCACCGTTTGCAGAATGGGACTTTTGGCGGGCTCAGCAGGGCAGAGACAGCCTGGACAATTCCTATTGGCTTTTGAAAGCCAATAGAATTAGACTCTATTCAAGAGAGTCTATTCTATTGGCTTTCAAAAGCCAATAGAATAAAAGGGAGTAGCACAGCTAAGGAAAAGGGGAAAAAAATGGCGGATTGCGGTGTTTGGCGACCCCCGTGAAATGGTCGTTCGACCCCAAATGGGGTCCCGACCCACAGGTTGAGAACCACTGCTCTAGAAGGTCTGCATGAAGCAGCCTCAGAGGTGATTGCCTGGATGGCTGAATTGGACATCTGGTTATGAGGCCATACCCCCATGGAGGTTTTACTTATAATTATGTGAACTGTGTTTACTTCTCTTGTCATGTTCTCATCATATGTTAAATAATAATTTAGGCACCATTTCATTCTGGTCCCAATTGTGGTTGTAAGTCGAGGACTATCTGTAACATAGCTGGAAGAAGAAGTCAAGGACATAGTGAGTAACAGCTGACCAATCAGGTGGCAAGTAGGAAATCTGAATAGGAGGTTGCTGAGAAAACAATGTGACGGTTTCTTGCAAGGCCTCCTTGTATCCACCTACAACCCATTCGGGTGGCAAGAAGGTCAAAGGTTGGCCATAGGCTTTTGATCCTCTCCCATTAATTAAGGATGGAAATGGGATTGGGATGCAAACTATCCCCATTTTCAATTGCTTCCAAACAAATTCAAAATATTTTGGGTTGGGGTCATTTTAAGCTTGTGGTGAAAACCATTTGTCTCCCCTAAGTCTTAAATCCAGTGGTGGGATTCAGCCAGTTCGCACCAGTTCGGTAGAACTGGTAGCTCATTTTTTGTTGCCCAGGCCCAGAATGGACCTCCACAAGCAGCATCCACACAGAGAACCAGTTATTCGCACATTTGAATCCCACCACTGCTTAAATCCCACCATTAAAACTCTGAAAATACTTCCATTCACAGAGGACTTGAAATACAAGTAGTCCTTGACTCACAACCATTTGTTGAGTTTGAAGTTACAATGGCACTGAAAAAAGTGACTTTGGACATTTTTTTTCGCATGACCGTGGCAGTATCCCCACGATCACGTGATCAAAATTTCAGATTCTCGAAAACTGGCTTGTATTTATGACAGTTGCAGTGTCCTGAGGTCACGTGATCCCCTTTCACAATCTTCTGAGAAGCAAAGTCAACAGGGAAGCCAGATCCACTTAACAACTCTATTACTAACTTAACAACTGTAACGATTCATTTAAGAACGGAGGCATGAAATGTCGTAAAATGGGGCAAAACTTCCTTTTGGGCTCAATTGTGGTCATAGGTTGAGGGGTAAACGATAATAATAATAATGACATCTGAGTTCATTATACACCCCAAAGCAATAGTTTGTTCAATCGCCCTCCTCCCCACCTCAAAATAAGAGAGGGGAATTCATCACATGACCCCAGGGTGGGTTTCGCTGTCATCAGAAGAACCCAGAAAAATATACCACTTCTGGGCTTTTTTTTTTTACAGCGAGCAATATAAATTAAATGGAACCAAGATTTTATAATTTGTAGCCCTAAGAGAGTCATCAAAAGGACACTGGTATTTCCCAGTGTCCCTTTTCAAGGAAGTCATGGGATGGCTCAGAATCCATATACAGGTAGTCCTCGACTTATAACAGTTCTTTTAGTGACCGTTCAAAGTTACATCATCACTGAAGAAAGTGACTCATGACCATTTTTCACACTTAACGACCGTTGCAGCATCCCCCGGGGTCAGGGGATCCAAATTCAGACGCTTGGCAACTGATTCATATTTATGACGGTCGCAGTGTCCCAGGGGTCATGTGATCAGCTTTTGTGACCGTCTGACAAGCAAAGTCAATGGAGAAGCCAGATTCACTTAACAACGGTGTGTTATTAGCTTAACAACTGCAATGATTCGCTGAACCACTGTGACAAGGAAGGTGGTAAAAATGGGGCAAAACTCACTTAACGAACGTCTCGCATAGCAACAGAAATTTTGGGCTCAACTGCGGTGGTGAGTTGAGGACTACCTGTAATATTTCACAACAGTGGAGGGAGGCCTCGGCATACTCATATTGCTTTGAAGTGGTGAATGCACCGAAAAGAAAGGAAGAGAAAGAAGCAGAAACACCCTTCTCACCCAGATATATATATATATATTTCCTTTCAGAAAAGAACGCTGGCCGGACAAGGGAGTCCGGCCAGCAACGACAAAGACAAGAAGTCTCGAGAGCGAGTCATCTACCTGCGTTGACGGGTGTCTTCTTCCAAGTGTAAGCACCTCCTTTGCCGATGGGTCTCTGAGCACGCTTACCTTGCCTGCCACCAAGTACGGCCACACCGGAGGCGTTCTGCAACTTGGGCGACTGGCTAAATGCATGCAAGACTCCACGAGGGGCACTGGCACTTCGGGGCAGCTGGCTGGAGGCCTGAACAATGACCGAGACAAGGAGGAAGAGAAAACAAACCATGAAACTTGAGGGCTGGAAAGGAGGCGGGTCACATTCTTGGATCACGTAGAGCAACGTTTCCCGAGCTTGGGAACTTTTTAAGGTATGTGGATTTCAACTCCCAGAGTTGAAGTTATGCTGGCTGGGGAATTCTCGGAGTTGAAGTCCACATACCTTAAAAATTCCCAAGCTTGGGAAACACTGGCCTAATCTGAATAGAGCTGGAAGGGACCTTGGAGGTCTTCTAGTCCAATCCCCTGCTCAAACAGGAGACCCTATACCAGGCAGGTCAAACTGCTGGCCCGCGGGCCGGATACGTCACACTGAAACCGCACCCATCCCTGTCAACGCTGCAAATATTGTATATTCTTGCTTTTGACAATATGTAGAATTGTCTGGTAATTATGGGGTTAATACAGAGCAGAAGGGGGGTTGGGGGTAAAGCCCGGGAAAGAAAGAGGAAGAAAACATTTGACCTTCACACTAATTGGATAATGTGAGATATGACGGCTAATTTAGGGAGGGAACATGCTGATAATTTAACTGCTCTGAGGAAGAGAACTTAGATCCTACCATCCCTCCGTTGTGCCTGTGCCCACATTTTGTAACAATAAAAGACTTTTAGGAAAATAAATGCCTGGAAGTTCTTTGGAATGTTTCATTAGCCGGAACACAACAATCCCATTGCTGGCAATGGGGAAAATATGTCGCACGTCACGTGACGTCACGAGTTTGACATGCTTGCCCTATACCATTTCATACAGGTGGCTGTCCAGTCTTTTCTTTAAAACCTCCAGTGATGAAGCACCCACAACGTCTGAAGGCAAGCTGTTCCACTGGTTAATTGTCCTCTCTGCTAGGACGTTTCTCCTTAGTTCCAGGTTGCTTCTCTTCTTGATTAGTTTCCATCCGTTGCTTCTTGTTCTCCTTCAGGTGTTTTGGAGAATAGCTTGACTCCCTCTTCTTTGGGGCAGCCCCTGAGATTTTGGAACACTGCTATCATATCCCCCCCCCCCCGGTCCTTCTTTTCTCTAGACTAGCCATACCCAATTCTTGCAGGGAAGCAGCAGGAGGTGGGGGGGCAGCCGGGGGTCTGGAGCCACCTCGGCTGCTCATTAGCAGCCTGACAAGGCAGTGGATCTCACGCACCAGCTACCCCTCTTGCTTCCTTGCATGGTTGACGGGTCGGAGCAGCAGCAGAAGCCACCCCCATCAGATCCATCGAGTGATGGGCCCAGGCCGGGCAAGGGGTTCCTTCTGGCTGTCCCGGGGCTGTTTCCACCCGCACCAATGGGGCCTCCGTGGCCTGTTCGCCATTATGCAGGACAGCCAGCATGCTGTGGCTGCTGTTGGACACCGTTGGCCCCAATGTGCCCCCTGGCCTCTGTGTGCGGGGGCCGATGGTGTCAGGCAGCAGATCCGGAAACAAAGCTTTGCCGACCATCCTCACGCTGGTGGGGGCGGCGGCGGCAGGGGAAGGCGGGTTTCGCGGCTCCCAGTGTTTTGTTTTCGGTAGGAAACGGGTCCAAGTGGCTCTTTGAGTGTTTTGGGTTTCCTACCCCTGGACTAGACATACCCAATTCCAGCAACCGTTCCTTATGTTTTAGCCTCCAGTCCCCTGATCATCTTTGTTGCTCTTCTCTTTAACTCTTTACAACAGCGGCAACCCCGCCCCCAGGCTCACATGATCAAAATTCACACCCTTGGCAACTGATTTGTATTTATGACGTTTGAGATGTCTCGGGGTCATGTCATCCCCTTTTGCTACTTTCTCACGAGCAAAATCAAAAGGGAAACCTGGTTCGCTGAAGAACCACGCTACTCATTTAACAACTGCAGTCATTCACTTATGAGCCGAGGTGGCGCAGCAGTTAGAGTGCAGTACTGCAGGTCACTTTAGCTGACTGTGTTCAGCAGTTCAAATCTCACCGGCTCAAGGTTGACTCAGCCTTCCATCCTTCCGAGGTAGGTAAAATGAGGACCCAGATTGTTGGGGGCAATGTAAATATATATATATATATATATATATATATATATATATATATATATATATATATATATATATATATATATATATATATATATATATATATCTTACTAGTGTATACCGCTTACACTATATATATAGCTTACTAGTGTATACCGCTTAGAGAGTGCTTGCACTTAAAGCGGTATATAAGTCTCATAAATAAATAAATAAACAGGTGCGGCAAGAAAGGTTGTGAAAATGCGGCCAAACTCACTTAGCCACACACTCTCTCTCTCTCAGCAACAGAAATCTGGGGCTCCATTGTGGTCGTAAGTTGAGGACTGCCTGTAAGGCAGCAAATACCACCCCCCACCCCCCCCGGAGCTGTGAGGATTCGTTCTTCAGCTTTCAAGCTTGAGATCTCTACCTGCTTGAGTGCGTGATGCTGCTGAGCTATCTGTTCTGGCTTGCTCTGAATCGGGGAGGCGGCCTGTTGCAATATCCGCTGCTCGATCTCCTGCTCCTGTTGCAAGGCCTTCACAAAGGCGGCCTTCAGCCGGCTCGTGTGCTCGGCCTTGAGGGCCTTCTTCTGATTGGAGGACATGCACGTCTCGCACATGATGGAGCCGCTCTTCTCCTCCCTCCAGCGGCAGGTGAAGTCCGTCTTGCACTGGACGCAGGTGTAGGGCTCCTGCGAGGAGGGGCTGACGGAGACTTTACCTACGGGAGAAACAGAAGGGTCAACCTGGCTTCTGATCTCGGGTTGGGGTCCTTTAAGATGGCCAGGAAAAAAGCAAGCAAGAAGTGGATGGAGAAAAGAGTAAGAATGACGGTCCTCTTCTTTGTCCCTGAAGCCAATTCCTCAATGCAATGGAGGGGAATTAAGCTTTAGAGCTTTGCTGGCTGAGGAATTCTGGGAGTTGAAGTCCACAAGTCTTACAGTTGCCAAGGTTGAGGACCCTTGCTTTAGAAGACTGCAAGACAGCTGGGAATGCTCGCTCGTCTACATCACCTCTAGCTGTCAGTCTGTTTTCTAACAGGCCACAGATCGGTACCGATCCGTGGCCCAGGGACCCCGCATTAGATTAAGGTCTACAAAATTACTTCTGGCCACCTGGTAGACAGAGGGCTTTGGTGCTCCTTTTTCCGACTGCTCCAAAATCTATCTAAGGCCACCCAGCAGAACCTACTCATAAATGGCCCCTATATCAGAGGTCCCCAATCTTGGCAACTTTAAGACTTGTAGATTTCAGCTCCCAGAATTCTGGGAGTTGAAATCCACGAGTCTTAAAGTTGCCAAGGTTGGAGACCCCTGCTTTAGAACACTGCAAGACAGCTGGAAATGCAAGCAACAAAGACTTACCCCCCCAGCCAATGCTGGCTGTGGAATTCTGGGAGTTGAAGTCCACATGCCTTAAAATTGTCAAGGTTGAGAAACACTATTCTAAAACAACAAGGAGAACTGATCTCTGCAGAATTAAGGATTTCTTGGTGCCTCTTAAAACCCACCCACTGCAAGCCTAAAAAAATACCCCACCAAAAATAACACAGAAAGCCAACAGATTCAAATCACGTCCTCTCTTTAAAGCAAACGACCACCTAAAATTTCAACTGGTGGCGACTAGCAGAAGAGCCTTTTTTGCTAGCAGCCCCAGCTCTCCGAAATACCGTGCCGCCAGAGGGGAGGCCGCCCCCCCCCCTTCTGAAGGGGTTTTCTGACTTGGCCCTGTCAGCTGGTGTGAGCCCCCAATGTAGACCCTTTAGGCTGGAAACGGTTGGGTGCAGGGACAGTGAAGGCACCACCCCCTCTCCCAATTCAAGCCTGGGTTTTTGAGTCTATATCTAAATTCCTCGGGAATTTTAATTGCTCTTATATTTATAATTGATTTTATATAGCTGTTTTTATTACTTATAAGCCACCAGAGTTGCTCTGGATGGCCAGATGGGCGGCATATAAATGTAATAAATATATAAACATAGATCAGTTAATAAAATGGTGCCCCAAATCAAAGGTAGCTTGAGATTTCTATTTGGAAGAATGCAGCATGATGGAGATTGATGTACAGTGGTACCTTGATGTTCATTGTTAATTGGTTCCAGGAGCTGCGATAATTACCAAAAATGATTCGTACCAAACAAAAATTTTCCCGCAAGGAATAATGTAGTGAGTCACAAGGCAGCCGACACCAACAAGTTCTAGCTCAGTGGTTCTCAACCTTTTTAATGCCACGACCCCAACCGGTCGTAAGTTGAGGACTACTCAACCGGTCGTAAGTTGAGGACTACTCAACTGGTGCAGCACCGTTTGCAGAATGGGACTTTTGGTGGGCTCAGCAGGGCAGAGACAGCCTGGACAATTCCTATTGGCTTTTGAAAGCCAATAGAATTAGACTCTATTCAAGAGAGTCTATTCGATTGGCTTTCAAAAGCCAATAGAATAAAAGGGAATAGCACAGCTAAGGAAAAGGGGGGGAAAAATGGTGGACTGCGTTGTTTGGCGACCCCCGGGAAATGGTCGTTTGACCCCAAATGGGGTCCCGACCCACAGGTTGAGAACCACTGTTCTAGCTTGTGCAAACGATGAGTACCACTGCACATCAAAATGTGTTGAGTTACCAAATTTGATGAGTTTCAAAGCAGCTGAGTACCAAGGTACCACTGTATCTCCTGGTGGGGATCATTCCATGTGTCTGGGCTCTGAAACAGCCTCATCCTAGGTACCTGTCACTGTGACATCTTTTATTGAAAATTGAAGAATGAGCATGAACTGATTTAAAACCCAAAGCAGGTTCCCACATATGCTAAACAGCAGCGGCTCTTGGACAGAGAAGAGCTTCTCTCTACTCTGCTATTTGGAGATGCCGTAGATTGAACCTGTGTGACAAGATAAGACGTGAATTCATACCTTGTGTCAATAGTGTGGCATACTGGTTAGGGCAGTGGACTCAGATTAAGGAGCTCTAGATTCAAGCCCATTCTCGGCACGGTCACTCAGAGGGTGACTTTGAATTGGTTATTATCTGTCAGCCCAACCTACTTCACAGGGCTGTCATGGGGATATAATTGGAAAAGGTCCTATTATATATACTGCCCTAAACTCTTAAAAGGACAGGTGGGACATAAAGCCAACATACAATGTGAAAGCCAGTTTGGTGTAGTGGTGAAGGTGCTGACCTAGAAACCAGGGGACTTGTGAGTTCTAGTCCCTTTGGCATGAAGCCCAACAGGTTTCTCTCTCAACCCACCCAACCCCATGAGTTTGTTGCGGGGAAAACAGGAGAGGAAGAGTATTAGGTATGTCCACCGCCTTGAGTTACTTATAAAGTAATGAAGGTGGGATAAAAATCTATTAAATAAACAAGCAGCCAATAATAAAATGATGCCAACCCATCTCATCCCTGCAGTTACATATGGGGATCACCCAGTTTGTATTAAGCAATAGAGTTGTAAATCACAGCTTTATTGAGAGCAGAGAGTTAAGGTACTCTTAAAACTGGCTTTCCCAGCCTAGAATCCCCAAGAGAAGCTGTTGGTCTATAAGCCCTATCAAACCGTTACTTAACATGACTAAAAAAAAATCAAGCCTGATGGGAACCAAAGTCCAGCAACCACTGACAATTCCAAACAATGCAAATTTAAGCTTTGCTTCTCTCTTGGTGGCCTCCAATAGTGCCTAGGCCACGGGTAGGCAACCTTGGCTCTTTTATGACTCTGGGCTTCAACTCCCAAAATTCCTGAGCCAGCCATGCTGAGGGGAAAGGGAAAGGTTTCCAAGCTGAGCCATGCTGGCTCAGGAATTCTGGGAGTTGAAGTCCACGAGTCATAAAAGAGCCAAGGTTGCCTACCCCTTGGCTACAATCCCCAGAGTTCTAAGTTTGAAGGCTTCAACCTTTGACCCCTTAACCGCCTCTCCTCACCTTGAGCTTCTAGTAGGTTCTGCACCACTTCCTCCAACCCAACTAGGTAGATGAACTCATTATTAGCTGCACTGGGCAGGAAGTTCATTTCAGGAGCCGGAGGTTTGGGTGGAGGAATTTCCAGCAAGGTTTTCTCCAGCTGTTTCCGCAATGCCAACTTGGCAGCTGCTTGCCGACTGGCAGGAGAGTCGTTCGAGTTGACGATGGAAGCAACGCTGGTGGCGATCGAAGAGTTCACCTGACCGGACGTCCCAGCTGCACCTTTCAATGAAGTTGGGGAGGCCTGGGAAATGAAATGGGGGAGAAGAGTCTGTCTTATAACCGTCCCATCCCATCACACGCTATTCAAAAGAAAGCGGAGATCTATGCATCAGGGTGGAGTCTTCTTGGTGGAGGAATCTGAAACTTCCTGCATAGAAGCATGAATGGAAAATCTGGCTATTTCAAAATCACAGGCCGTCCTCGACTTACAACAGTTCATTTAGTGACCGTTCGAAGTTACCACAGCATTGAAAAATGACTTTGTTTTTCACAGTTATGACCGTTGCAGCATCCCCACGGCCACCTGTGATCAAAATTCAGATGCTTGGGAACTGGCACATACTTATAACGGTTGCAGTGTCCTGGGGGGAGGGCTCATGTGATCATCTTTTGTGACCTTCTCTGAGAAGCAAAGTCAATGGTGAAGCCGGATTCACTTAACAACCGTGTTACTAGCTTAAGAACTTCAGTGATTCACTTAACAACCGTGGCAAGAAAAGTCATACAGTGGGGCAAAACTCACTTAACAACTGTCTTGCTTAGCAACAGAAAGGTCGCACTCAATTGTGGCTGTTCAGTCAAAGACTACCAGGATCTGCAGATGCTGCCTCCACATTTTTCATTGCTCCCAGGGCACTCCTAGACTGGGTAGGGCCACAAATTTCAGCCCTCTCTTTGTGGGGCAAAACGTGTCTCTTACCCCTAGCAGAAGGTTAGCACAATGAATGTTTTCAGTGAAGTGGAAGGTTTTGCCCCTTCTCTACCCCCATGGCTGGCAGGTTTGCAGACCAAGGAATATGGACAGCCATTCGTCCGAGATGGTATAGGGCAGTGGTTCTCAACCTTTCTAATGCTGCGACCCCATAATACAGTTCCCCATGTTGTGGTGACCCCCAACCACTTATACATCACCGGGTGCCAGGGGTGTGGCCAAAGAAAAGGGGGAAAAATGGCGGACAGCCTTGTTTGGCGACCCCCGTGAAATGTCATTCGACCCCAAATGGGGTCCCGACCCACAGGTTGAGAACCACTGGTATAGGGTTTCCTGCCTGAGCAGGGGGATGGACTAGATGACCTCCAAGGTCCCTTCCAACTTTATTATTATTATTATTGATCATCGCACAGTCAGCCAGATGTTCAGACTGGATTTGGCATTTTCTCTACCTATCAAGTCCTTACCCAGGACCTGGGATAGGCAGATGTGGATGTTTGATGGTATTACAGATATCGTCGCAGCATGGAAACAGTTCCTAGTAAGGCCGCCTTTTGCAATTGACTAATAGCAAATTTGTCAATGCCAATGGTGTTCAAGTGGTGCTCCAGTTGTTTTGGGATTGCACCCAAGGAGCCTATGACTATTGGTACTACCTTGCTTGCTTTTGCCACAGTCTTTCTATTCCTATTTGTATGTCTTTGTATTTTATTATCTTCTCCAGTTCTTTCTCGTCTATTCTGCTGTCTCCAGGCACTGCCACGTCCACTATCCAGACTTTTTGTCCTACTACTACTACTACTACTACTACTACTACTACTACTACTACTACTATTATTATTATTATTATTATTATTATTATTATACCAAGGGTCTTCAAACTTGGCCCTTTTATGACTTGTGGACTTCCAACTCCCAGGCATGCTGGCTGAGGAATTCTGGGAGTTGAAGTCCACAAGTCATAAAAGGGCTAAGTTTGAAGACACCTGTCTTAAAGACAGTGCCACCCTTCACTGGGAATTTGGCTGAAGTTCAAGCCTGATGACTTGCTACCTGCTTATCCATTTTTAGCTAGTGAGATGGAAAAAAACCAAAAAAAGCCAGTTTGGTCTAGTGCAGGGGCAGGCAACCTTGGCTCTTTTATGACTTGTGGACTTCAACTCCCAGAATTCCTGAGCCAGCATGGCTCAGCTTGGAAATCTCTCCCTTTCTCCTCAGCATAGCTGGCTCAGGAATTCTGGGAGTTGAAGGCCAGGAGTCATAAAAGAGCCAAGATTGCCTACCCCTGCTCTAGTGGTTAAGACACTAGGCTAGAATCTGGGAGAGAATTGAGTTCAGGCCTTAGGCTGAAAGCCAGCTAGGTCCCTTCGGGCCAGTCGCTCTCTCTCAGCCCAACTCATCCTACAGAGTTGTTGGAGGATGGAAGTCATGTTGGATATTTTCATCATCTTGAGCTGGTGAGTTACACCCTCTTGTAACAATTATCAAGTTGGGGAGGGAACACAAACTTAAAAAATGAAAAAAAAAAATAAGAAGTGCCTCCTCTCACATCCTAGGAACAAAAAACCCTTCACTCCATAGATATGGAAAAAAGTTATTTTTACTAGGAAACCATTAATTGCTGTCACTTCTTTCCTCATAAAAGTACCTTTTCTCTAAAATCTATGAAAGGTTCCCCCCCCCCCCCCCGGAGTAGAGGCAGCCCTAACTGGCTTCACAAAATTCTTGAAATGAAATAAACTCACGTGAATTCTTGTATCTGACAAAGAGTTTGCTTTTACAGGGCATTAACCTCAAGAAGGAAGTGCTTCAAAAAGAATGTAGTCACTGCAATTTTTGATTAGTGGCTTATTTACACCAGCAGTCCTTGATTAGAAAAATATTAGCATTTTTGTAATAACTCTTAGCACATGCAATAAAAACTCCCAAGATGATTCACGCATAAAAACACTTCCTCTGTTGAAGTAAAATTCAGAATGTGAATACTTTTCAATGGATTTTAGTTAATTTGGGGTAGCTTGATAGATTTATGGAGAGTTATGTTGTATTTCCTAGACCAGGGGTAGGCAACCTTGGCTCTTTTACGACTCGTGGACTTAAACTCCCAGAATTCCTGAGCCAGCCATGTTGAGGGGAAAGGGAGAGGTTTCCAAGCTGAGCCATGCTGGCTCAGGAATTCTGGGAGTTGAAGTCCACAAGTCATAAAAGAGCCAAGATTGCTACCCCTGGCCTAGTCTATTAAGCCTGACAGAATTACCGTATATGACGGCGTACAAGGCGACCTGGCGTATAAGACGACCCCCGTCTTTGTCGCCAGGCCGCATTCCTAGAAGGTCGTCTTATACGCCGGAAACTACCAGTATTTCCAGTGTATAAGATGACTCGGCGTATAAGACGACCCCCCGTCTTTGGCGCCAATTTTAGCGCTTGCGGAAGTTGCCTTATACGCTGGCATATACGGTAGATTATCAGAAACTGGTAGGCCTAGTCCATGGGTAGGCAACCTTGGCTCTTTTATGACTCGTGGACGTCAACTCCCAGAATTCCTGAGCCAGCCATGCTGAGGGGAAAGGGAGAGGTTTCCAAGCTGAGCCATGTTGGCTCAGAAATTCTGGGAGTTGAAGTCCATGAGTCATAAAAGAGCCAAGGTTGCCTACCCCTGTCCTAGACAAAGGAACATCAATCTCTCAAGATAGTAGTTTAGGATTTTACTGCTACGACCCTGCTTCCACCCAGCAAGTATTTTCTACGAATAGGGAGTTATGAATGTCCCTCATTTTCCTAACAGAATCATCATTATTAACCCCCTTCAGCCATAGAAAATAGGAAGGAGATAGATCATTGAGTTATGAAGCAGCCACCTACAGGTAGTCTTTGACTTATGCCCATAATGGAGCCCAAAATTTCCACCACTAGGTCACACAGTTGTTAAGTGAGCCACGCCCTAATTTATTATCTTTTAAAATCATCATTGTATTGTGAATCTGGCTTGCCCCATTGACTTTGCTTGTCAGAAGCTCCCCAGGAAAGTTGCAGATGACAATTCCAGGACCCTGAGACTCCGCAACCATTGTTAATACATGCTGGTTACCAGGCACCCAAAGTTTAATCACGTAACTGTTGGGATGCTACAAAGGTCATAAATGGAGAAACTGGTCATACGCCACTTTTTCAGGGCCGTTGTAATGTTGAATGCTCATTTTTTTTTTATTAAAAGTTTTACAAGTTCACTACAATATAAACCCCTCCCACCCCTTTCCCCCCCTCCCCCACTTCCCAGAGCTGATTACAGGGTAACAAATAAACAAGCATAATCTAACTAACATAAACCAACTATACTATCAAACAAAACCATAACACACTTTAACTCCTTTTCAAAACAAATATTATTAACAAGTTAAAACAAAAATAATAATATAATTAAAACTATTAATAATTATCAAAAATCTACACATATGCAAGATAATATTTTTCAATTTCATATTTCTTTTGAATGTAATCAATCCATCTTCTCCAAACCATAATATATTTTTCTTGTGATTGATCCTTCAAGTAGGCGGAGATTTTCACCATTTCTGCTAAATTAGACACCTTAAGTATCCATTCTTCCAAGGTAGGCAGTGAATTTTTCTTCCAATATTGCCCCACCAATAGTCTTGCAGCTGTTATAAGATTCAACATCAAACTGATTTCTTTAACATCAAAATCTACAATAATACCCAACAAAAATAACTGCGGAGTAAACTTTATCTTTCTCTTAAAAATCTTTTGAATATTCCACCAAATCTTAATGTAAAAAGCTTTAATATCTCTACAGGTCCACCAAATGTGAAAATAGGTTGCGTCTAAACTTCCACATCTCCAACATTTGCACTGTAAATTCGGATACATGCAGGACAACTTTTGGGGATCCAAATGCCATCTATAAAACATTTTATAAAAATTCTCTCTTAAATTTTGCGCTTGAGTAAATTTTACATTTCTAACCCAAATTGTCTCCCATGTATCCAGTAATGTTGAATGCTCATTAAACGAATGGTTGTAAGTTTAGTATAGAGACTAGGAAGGCATGCATGCTTCTGATTGGACCGTTCACCGTTTCAGGAGGAAGAAAGGCTAAGAGCAACATTGCTTGTCTGCTTACCTGTGGGATGTTGACCAAAAGGCTCGCATTCGGGACATTGGCAACACGGATGAGACCCTGCTGGATGATCCGCTGGCCCTGGATCTGCACGCTGGGAACGGAGGCCCGCGGAGCGAGGAGCAGCGGAGGAGGTCCCGAGCTGGAGTGCGGGCGGATGTTGTGAATTTGCTGGGGAGACACAGAAATGGGCTGATACAGATGGATACGTGGGAGGACAAGATGGGAGGAAGGCAGGAAAAAGGGAGAGGAGAATGAAGGCCAAGCAAGGGGGAAGAGAAAGGATGGGATGATAACAACAAGATGTCCAACGCAAAAAGGGGAAGAAGAGAAGTAAAAAGGAAAAACTATTAGTTTGGTTTTTTTTTTAAAAAAAAAAAAGTAAGAAAAAGGAATACTCCCAAAGCCAACAGTGTAGATTTATTCTTAGAGCAGCTTGGAAGATTCTCAGGATGCATCAGATTCTAACAGGAAGTGCTTTTTTGCTTTGGTCAGATAATCAAATTTAATATAGACCTGCAAGAAGCAGCTTCATAAGCACGCTTCGATTTGCATCCTTTTCATTAGCACCGTGGTCACTAAATGAATGGCTGTAAACTGAGGACTACCTGTGGTGAATAGGCCTGAATTGCAGAAAGGGAATTTGAAAGCAGTGTATAAAGGAAGCAAAGCAGGCATGAGACCAACACAACAAATGGCTCAACAATGGTGGCAGGGGGTACAAGAAGGATGTGTAATGTTAGATATGCATCGTTGGGAATGTGTGTATACTTTTGTAGGCAGGCAACACCATGCTGTTGACTGAAAACACACATTATTTGCAGTACATATTATATGCATGATCTGATAATTAATGTACCAAAGTCCAAGGCCGTTGTGTTTGACAGGGATAGTAAAGTATGCATAAATGACAAAAAACTAGAAAAGATGAATTTTAAGATGTACTGATAGAAAGCTGGTGAGTAGTATATGGTATTCTTTGTGGAGTGTTTGTTAAAAGATGCAAAAATGGCTACACCTACAACCAATTTTGCCTTCTTTATTATACAGAGTAAAGATTGAGTATGTCAAGAGACACTGTCATGATTTATTAAATGTAATGGAGATAAGGTACTTAAGAAGTGTAATGTGGGAGAGAAAGGGCCAAGAATGAACGAACATGGAATACAAAAACAAGTGACTGACAGGCTTAATCATGACAATATATGAGGCTCAAAGTATAGAACGAAAATATGGAAGAATAAATGTGTTGAGAGAGAGAGAGAGAGAGAGAGAGAGAGAGAGAGAGAGAGAGAGAGAGCCTGAGAAAGCTGCAATTTGATGGAGTCGATGAGATCTTGAAAAAGAGGGAGGCAAGAAGTTTAAAGAACAAAGGGCAATGGAAGAAGTGATGGATGGCACCTGAATGACATAGCAGAAGCAGTTTCCCAGAACAAAAAGGCATGGAGAGGTACAGTGAATGTGTAAAATACTTTTAAGTATTTTTCTTTTTCTTCTCTTACAACTTTAATCTCTTCATCTTGCTAATTTGTAATTAATTTAATTTCTTCTGCTTTACTTCTCTGGGCTTGACGGAATATTCCAAAAGGAACATCTCAGCTGCCTTAAGTTTGGCCTGAAGAGAAATGATAGGGCATAACTTAAACTAATAAATAATAAACAACAGATCCAAGTTCTGGTGTCCCCTTGGTCACAGAATCACTCGAGGCTACCTCACAGGCTTATTGTTGTGGGGAGTCAAATGAAGCAGGACCATCATAGATTGGCAGGGCATAGAAACGGATCAATTCATATAAAGCATCTTAACTGAATTATCAGCCTTTGCTTACATGGCATTTTCTGAGGAAGAGGGCACAGGCCAGCAATGCACTTGCATGACACAAGTAATACTTGTTTAGTGACAATTGGGACTGGCAATTCAATTGGTACACAAAACAGCTGTTAAGTGAAACAGTTGACTGTGCTTATGATCTTTCTTCAGCTTTCCTTTGGTTTTACAGGTCTGTGAAGGTGACAGGTGGAAGAATTGGCCACAGAGTTGCTTTTTCAGCACCATCATAATTGTGAACGGTCGCTAAACAAGGCAATAGCTAAACAAAGACTACCTGTGAGGAGGAACTATCAAGAATAACAGAATGATAGAATTGGAAGGGACCTTGGCGGTCTTCTAGTCCAACCCCCTGCTCAAGCAGGAGACCCTATAGTACTATTTCAGACAAATGGTTGCCCAGTCTCTTCTTAAAAACCTCCTGTAATGGAGCACCTGCTATTTTTGGAGGGAAGCCATGAACTCTGTCTTCTGTGCCCTAGTCCTTTAGGGCAGTGTGTTCCTCGACCTTGATAAGTTTAAGACGCATGGACTTCTGATTTCCAAAATTATCTAGCCAGCATGATTGGCTGGGGAATTCTGGGAGTTGAAGTTCCTGCACCTTAAACTTGCCAAGATTTTAAGATTTCAACAGCAAACACAACCAGCTATTTGACCTGACCTAGCTTCCCTTAGCCCAGTATATCCCAGCCAACAGCAACTCTGTGGGGTTTCAGACAGAAAAAAAATCTTCCCCAGCTAAGCAGATATAATCAGAGTCACGTAGGAATCTTAGGAGAGCAAAGGTGAAGTGTGAGGGGAGGAAAAAGAAAGAAAGAATATAAAGTACAACAATAGCTTACCTGTGCTCCTCGGACTAGAGGTGGCATGACTATTTGCGTGTTCTGTTGAGAGCCCAGCTTTGAAGATGTCTGTTGCCCACCCCGGATCAAAGGAGGCGGAATAACAGTCCCAGGAATACGTGAAGAAGTGTTCTGTTTTGGGAGCGGGGTTGAGTTGGGGAAAGAGATAAAAGAATGGTTTTGCTTTATAACTGCAGATAGTCAAAGATCCATCAAGGGCATTCTCTACTCTATTTTCCTTGTGCTCACTAACCAACTTCTTAATATAGCTTTGAGAGCCAGTTTGGTGTAGTGGTTAAGGTACCAGGTTAAAAAAAAACCCTGGAGATCATGAGTTTTAATTCTGCCTTAGGCACAAAGCCACCTGGGTGATCTTCGGCCAGTTGCTGTCAGCCCAGGGAAAAGAAGCAATAATAATCAAGTTGGAAGGGACCTTGGACGTCATCTAGTCCAACCCCCTGCTCAGGCAGGAAACCTATATCATTTCAGACAAATGGTTGCCCAGTCTCTTCTTAAAAACTTCCAGTGTTGGGAGATTCACAGCTTCTGGAGGCAGGTTGTTCCGCTGGTTAATTGTTCTAACTGTCAAGAAATTTATCCTTAGTTCTAGGTTGCTTCTCTCTTTGGTTAATTTCCAATGGCAAACCACTTCTGAAGTCTTGCCAACAAAACTGCAGTAACGTATCCCGGCAGTCATCAGAAATCAACCCTGATTCGAAGGCAACATTTAGATTAATACATATACAGCTTTATTTCCAGTTTTTTTATCTATCCACTCAGAACTACTGTAGGAGCCCATATATTACAGGTGGTCCCTGACCTACAATCAGTTGTTTAGTGATTCATCAAAGCTTTAACGGAGCCTTCAAAAGGTACCCATCCCCTGGTTCTCACAGTCACGTGACTGCATTTTGGGTGCTTGGCAATTGGCTCGCATTTATGGCTGTTTGTAGTATCCTGAGCTCACATGACCCATGATATACAACATTTTTGCTGAAAACTGGGGCTTACTTCCAGTTTTCAGCAAAAATGCCCCATAGCAAACAATGAGTTTGCTTAACAGCATTCGCTTTATGATCAATGCAAAAAAAAAAAGTCATAAAATCAGATGGCTCACATGGGTGACTCACTTTAAAACTGCCACAACTTATGAATGCACGCGAGCTCGTGATTTTTGGAACAGGATTAAAGTATGGTTGGAAGAAATATTTGAGCAAGCGGTAGAACCAAAACCAGAACTCTTTCTATTAGGTTTAACTACGCAAAAGCATGACAAAGGCGTACTTTATTTAATGCTACACATTTTAACGGCTTCCAGACTGGTTTTTGCTCAAAATTGGAGGAATAAGGCAGTGGTTCTCAACCTTTCTAATGCCGTGACCCCATAATACAGTTCCCCATGTTGTGGTGACCCCCAAGTGGGTGTGGCCACCAATAAGAGGGAGTAGGACAGTTAGGGAAAAGGGAAAAAAATGGCAGACAGTGTGGTTTGGCGACCCCCGTGAAATGGTCATTTGACCCCAAATGGGGTCCCGACCCACAGGTTGAGAACCACTGGAATAAGGGAACCCCAACGGAAGAAGAGATCCTGCATAAAATTTTATCATGTGCTGAGATGGACAGGCTTACAATGATTATGAAAGACAAGACAGAACACGAATACTTCCAAATCTGGGGCAAATTTTACCGTTGGTATGAATTAAGAACTGCTCGGACTTCAAGCTAATGGTAGAATTAAAAGATATACATAACTGTATATATAATTGTATATATAATTGTATTGTATAGAAGATGAGGCTTATATAGAGGTTAAGAACAATGTATTAAACTGTTGTACCATGATAGGAACTGATAGGAAAATTTATTCTGGAATGTCATGTTTCTCCACTGTTGTTTTAATTGTATTATGAATAAAAATTAAAAAACAAAAAACTGCCACAACTTATGACCATCACAGTTCTAAAGTTGAGGGCTACCTCTACTGAAGCAGCCTGTAAGACTGAGTCAATTGACACAGATCTTTCTTACCTGCAGAAGGGCTGACTTGCTGGATGCAATGTTCTGTGTTCCCCGCACTAATGGGGGAGGTGTTGCTGCAGCATTTCCTGAAGAACCAGCAGGCTATAAAAGACAGGGAAACACATGGAAGAGAGAAATGTATTAGAGCAAAAGCAGGTGATTTTGAAGGCACTCTTTGGGCTCTCTGTTTATGGGCCCGGCACCCTGAGTTTTCACTGGCCAAAAATGTGGTGCCAAAAGGCCAATATTTTGGGGTTGCACAACTTCAGCCCAGTTTTCAATAACAGTAGAGGGGAGAAGTGGAGGAATGACAGCAATCTGCTTCCTGGAAGAATCTTGCTTTCATTTATATCACGGTGGTGTCCAACCTTGGCAACTTTAAGACCTGTGGACTTCAATTCCCAGAATCCCCCAGCCGGCACGGGGAATGCTGGAAATCCTGAGAGTTGAAGTCCACAGGTCTTAAAAGTTGCTAAAGTTGGACACCCATGATTTACATCCTTGGAAAAAACAAGGAACACACTGTGCCCACTCTGGTGATGTCATCCTGTTATGGAATGGCTTCCTGCAGATCTCCAGTCAGGTATGGACAGTTTAAAAAAATGGACAGTTTTTTAAAAAAATGTCAGTAACCTCTATTATAATAATTATTGTTGTTAATTGCAAAGTCGTGTCCAACCCATCGCGACCCCATGGACAATGTTCCTCCAGGCTTTCCTGTCCTCTACCATCTTCTGGAGTCCGTTTAAGCTCATGCCTACTGCTTCAGTGACTCCATCCAGCCACCTCATTCTCTGTTGTCCCCTTCTTCTCTTGCCCTCCATCTTTCCCAGCATTAGGCTCTTCTCCAGTGAGTCCTTCCTTCTCATTAGGTGGCCAAAGTACTTGAATTTCAACTTCAGGATCTGGCCTTCTAAAGAGCAGTCAGGGTTGATCTCCTCTAGGACTGACCGGTTTGATTGCCTTGCAGTCCAGGGGACTCGCAGGAGTCTTCTCCAGCACCATAGTTCAAAGGCCTCAATTCTCTGGCGCTCAGCCTTTGTTATGGTCCAACTTTCGCAGCCATACATTGCAACTGGGAAAACCATGGCCTTGACTATACGTACTTTTGCTGGCAGGGTGATGTCTTAGAAGTCATGCTTGGGGGGGGCACTTTGAAAGCCAGAAATGGTCCCCAAGGTAATCAATGCCTAGGCTGGAGACAGGTGAGAAAGGCCACATATAAACTCCAAGTACGGGGGGGGGGGAAGGCAGACTACGCACCTTTTGAGCCGTTGTCTCCTTTTGTATCTGACTTTGTCGTAATTTTTTCAGTAAGACCAGCTTAGCTTCTTCTAACCGCAATTCCTCTTTCAGCTGTTTAATCATTCGCTCCCGTTCTTCTGGGCTGCTTTTCTACAAGGACAAAGGATTGGGAGAAAAAGTTTTAAATTTCATTTAGAGAGGGGGAAGAGTCAAATTAGAGAGGACGGCAGAAGGGCTGACTTTAAAAGAGGGCTTTCAAGAGGACACAGATGAGAAGGAGATGGAAAGAAACAGAACGAGAAGCAATGTGGCTTGTTAGGCCAGCCTTCTGTAATCCAGAGTCCTACAGATAGGTTAAAGCAGGGGTCTGCAACCTTGACAACTTTTAAGACTTGTGGACTTCAGCTCCAAGAATTCCTCAGCCAGTCCACAAGTGGTCAAGGCTGCAGACCCCTGGGTTAAAGGACAACTGCCAAATTTCCTAGCCAGCAGTGACAGGATTCTCATCATCCCCAAAGACTACAAGGCAGGGGAAGCACAGCTTTTGTGCTGCAGGAGAAATTCCAGGCATGAGCATCATGAAGGAACAGACAGACGGCTCATGTAAGCGACCCAGGCATAAAGAACAGAAAAAACAGAGTCTTGGGGGGGGGGGGGAATTTTGAGCAGATGGGGCACCCGAACTGGAGGAGAAATTCATGCACTTCGACTGGAATCACCACAGAGAAAACCCTCCAGGCGACAAAGCAGAGGACATGACCAGTTTTTGCCAACGGACAGAGAAAAGTCAATTCTGTTATATTCTGATTTATGTACTACTGTGGCACAGATGGCGGGAACCCTTGAAGATGGACTCATGACTTACTGGGCCAAAGATCTGAATGTATTAAGGGTATGTGTGTGTGGAACCAGTCAGTTCGGTCTCAGTTGTATGACTGCTGGGTTAGACTCACCATCAGCACTTCTGCGCTGGTCTCTTTTAATGCTATTTTGGTTAATCCATTCATTCTTGGGCTTGACGGCTCGTTGTCAGATAGTACTATTACATCCGGTGAAGGGACTCTCCTCTCTTGCTTTGCATCACTGAAAAAAGTACCCCCCCAAAAGGAAAAGATGCATGAGCAGGGATATTTTTAAGGAAAAGGATGAATAAATCCTAAGACCCTCACTCGCCCTCTCCCTACTCAGCAAGGTGTATTTTTCAGGCCTATTTGGAGGGAAATCAAAATGACACTTCCGCCTTTCAGTTCTTAGTGTGGCTGCAGAGGGGGAGAGGAGCATTCAGAAGGCAAAGCAATGGGTAGGGATTCCAAGATAGCCAACTTCCAGAGATAATCCATGTGTCTTCAAACTCTAATCTAAAAAGTTCCTGGAGGCACCTGCAGAAAGTTAATTAATTAAAAGCTTCTTTTTGACTTTGAACCAGTCAATCTAGTACTTATCCCCCAGATGGATTCAACTGACATCCCCCCTCCCCATTTCTGCAGTGGAACAGTCTGAGAAGAGGGGGCACCACGAAGCACTTACCAAGAAAATATACCAAGAAGTTTTTACGGAAGTAAAACTTCCATCCCAAGAAAAAGGATTGTAAAGCAAGCTCAGGTGAAAATGGCAATACATACAAATTCCTCTAGAGGGCACCCTCATAAAGCAATAGTTTACTATGAGCATTAAAACAAAAGTTGAAGTCCTGAATCAAAACAGAAAAGGGGGGGGGGTCTTTTCCCCTACTTTTTACATTAGACTCAGAGACAAATGCATTTGGAAAAGGCAGGGTGCACCAGGTTCAAACTAATATTACAAAAAAGGACATTTCCATCTTGCACCCATTCCGTTGACCCCCCCCCCTCTAAAGCCAATTTGGCTTGACAGTTAGTAGATCAGATTCTTGTATTGTAATAAAACTTTGAACTCAGCTCCTGTTCCTGGGTACAGGTAGTCAGCTTACAACAGTTCATTTAGTGACTATTCAAAGGTACAACAGCACCGAAAAAAGTGACTTATGACCATTTTTCACCCGAGAAGCAACCTAGAACTAAGGAGAAACTTCCTGACAGTTAGAACAATTAACCAGTGGAACAACCTGCCTCCAGAAGCGGTGAATGCTCCAACACTGGAAGTTTTTAAGAAGAGACTGGACAGCCATTTGTCTGAAATGGTATAGGGTTTCCTGCCTGAGTAGGGGGTTGGACTAGATGACTTCCAAGGTCCCTTCCAATTTTATTATTATTATTAATTATTATTATCTCCATGGTCACGTGATCAAAATCCACACGTGTGGCAAATGACTCACACTTACGACAGTTGTACAGTGGTATCCCGGGGTCAAGTGATCACTTTTTCTATCAAGGAAAAGTCAATGGGGAAGCCAGGTTCACTTAACAACCGTGGCAAGAAAGGTCGTAAAATGGGACAAATCTCACTTAACAACAGAAATTTTAGGCTCAATTGTGGTCGTTAAGTCGAGGACTCCCTGTACTTGCGCCTGACATCAGTCCTCTTATAAAACTTGCAGATGTAATTTCCCTGGACAAGCAGATTTCTCATTTGCCATCAACCAGACCACAGGATTTGCCTTGCCCAATATTTAAGAGGGATTGAACTGATCCTGAGATAACCGTGTTTTAGGAGAGGCCACCCCCAGTTTCCTATGGAGGAGATTTCAAGTTTGAAACCTGGTCACTTTCTTCAACAGAGAAATCGCTGGTCCTCTTCATAATCCAGATGTGACAGAAGCAAAGTTTCCTGATCAAGGGCTGGAAACCCTTTATGGGCTTTTTTTTTTCATAAAAAAGAAAATAATTCTGTACTTCCGGTTTTGAGGATTAGAAACAACAGATTACAGAAAGAAGGAATTTATGACATGATCCTAAGAGAGAAAGTTTTGAATAGAATTGTATGTATAACATACAACTGTATTCGTTTGCCAAGAGGAAAATCAGAAACCATTTCTTTATACTTCTTTTTTATGTTTTTATTTTTTCCACATTTTTTATACCACCCATCTTCTTGAAAGAGGAACTTTGTTTTCTGTTCTGTTCTATTATTTCTTTTTGTTTTCTTCTATTGGCGGTTTTCTCTTTTTGCCTCCCTTTCTTATTTCACTTTCACATTTACTGTATCTTTTGCTTTGAATGTACTCCTCATTATATGTGTAAAACCTTTCACTATAAATTAAAACGTAGCAAGTTCCCTCTATTTGCAAGAAGTTTTTTAATCAGGAACGCACGTGGCTGTCACCTGAGCCTCCCCTTGATCCACTATCATCACAAAAAGCTTTATTTCCTCTATTCTAACAAGCATCCCACACCATGTGACTGATTGAGACATGCTTTGCCAGTCACGTGACCTTTTTAACCATTCCTTCCCACGTAGTGGAAAAGCTACGGTGATAAACCGGTTGGAACTGGTTTTGTGACACATCGCTTTCATTTTGTGGAATGGTGGGGGGGGGGATGATTAAGACAGGTACGGTAAGAAAATGGAAGGAAGGAAGAGGAACCACAAACACACATTCAAGGAACTGGATGTCTCACGAGACAAAGCTTACAAAAGGGGGGGGGGTGTAAGGCTGCTATCCCACCATAAATCAATCTGCAATCTGGCATTCAGGAATGTCCAGGGAATGCAACTTCCAGAGGTTATGGCCGAAGGTTATAAAGTGCAGTCCCAGCACTAAAGGATATACCAAGGAAACAGAGGCTGTTGTGAATAATACTGATGAAATGAAGAAAGCTTGAAAGTTTTTGATTTTTGATGAAGGGGGGGGGGAATTATGAACTTCGCTTCACTTCACTTTTAGAGACTCAGAGCAAATGCTTGGACCCAGAATGTGTTCTGTATTACACTTCGGTTGAGGAAATACAGGTAAAGATCCCGCTGAGTCCAGTTTGATTCTTAGGGAACCACCTGAACAACTTTTAGGTAGCTTGCTCGGCATCTTCCGAGTGGCTGGATCGTGAGATGGGCAGCATATAATTTTAATAAATAAAATCTAAGTGGCTTATGTACCATTTGGACACATGAAAGCAGTTTGCCAAAATCTTTTCTCAGGTTATGTGCTGGTTTTTAATTTATTAGAGTTATAATGCTGCCCATCTAACATAAAACAAATCTGGGTGGCTAACACAGTAAAATATCAATGCAATGGCAAAATGCAACACGTAAAACATTAGAGAACATCAGAAAAGTGCTCACTGAGGACATTTTGTTTCTATTCTCAGTCCAGCCCACAGCCCTGAGATTTCCTAGCGGCCGCCCTTCCAGATACTTATCAGATCTGATCCAATTCAACATTGCTAAGATCACCTAAGTTCTGTCACTTGCTGTGATACATCACCCCCAATAACCTTAAGTCAGTGTTTCTCAACCTTGACAATTTTAAGGCATGTGGACTTCAACTCCCAGAATTCCACAGCCAGCATTGCTGGCTGTGGAATTCTGGGAGTTGAAGTCCACATGCCTTAAAATTGTCAAGGTTGAGAAACACTGCCTTAAGTCAACCCACCCTTGATTTCTCTCTCTCTCTCTCTCTCTGCATGTGTTGTGTGTGTTATTTACTAATAGGGATAGCCAGATTGAGGGCTGGCCTTACTTTGCAGCAAAAGAGACTGCAAATTAATTTGAATAAAAAGGCAGTACATCACTTTTTCGAAGCAATCTTCCCTCTTTAAAATACATTTCAACAATCTCCTTCCAAGAAGAAAAGTAGCAGGGCAAGAATTTATCTCTGTTGCCATTATGACACAAATAGGCCCCTACCTTGTTGTTTTTCTGAAAGGCCCAGAAGACGTAGTTTTGTTAGTGGACCTGCTTTTTACCTTGTGAATGTTTAATGTTGTAAGCTGCACGGTGTCATTTGTGTGTGAGCTGGGTGACCATTTATAATGGCAAACAGATGTGTTTGCAATGGAGCTGCTGAGAGAGAGAATGTGGCTAACACCGTTGGCTGAGTTTAGGCCAGGGGTAGGCAACCTTGGCTCTTTTATGACTTGTGGACTTCAATACCCAGAATTCCTGAACCAGCCATGCTGACTCAGGAGTTCTGGGAGTTGAAGTCCACAAGTCATAAAAGAGCCAAGGTTGCCTACCCCTGGTTTAGGCTATTAGAAGATATTAATAGTCCACACGTGTGGTCTTCAGTGCTTTTGAGGGAAAATTGTAGCTTGTTTCTCTCATCCAGGGGGCTTCAAACTTGGCCCTTTTATGACTTGTGGACTTCAACTCCCAGAATTCCTCAGCCAGTGTGCCTGGCTGAGGAATTCTGGGAGTTGAAATTCACAAGTCATAAAAGGGTCAAGTTTGAAGACCCCTGCTCTAATCAAAAGACATCCTGTCCTCGTGAAATGCAACGGGGGGGGAGGGGCACAGATCTTAAAAAATTGATATCCCCGAGATGTGCTTATACAGGTAGTCCTCGACTTACAAACTTTGGTTTAGTGACTGTTTGAAGTTACAACGGCAAATTTGTCGCACATTTGCTCACTTTTTTTAGTACAAAAAAAAACCAATTATGGAGGGACAAAAGGAGGCAGAAACACCATGTATATAGTACTGAGTTGCACACACACACACATATGCACACAAAAGCATAGATGTAACAACAACAACAAAGCAAGAATGTTTCAGCTCCTTGCATCTGTTGTTACTTTTAAGAATAAGTTATAATCTCCTTCCAAGCTATTTGCTAATGGTTGATGTTGGATGCTTTCAAAATTATAATAGAAAAAAACAATGAAGAGGCATCATAGATGTCTTGCCTTTCACCAAGGAGAAAATTAGGCAGCATATGATTCCCCCGCTGTACCCCTGCTCTCTGCAACCTCAGCCGATTCCTTAACAACCACAGTTGGAGGACAATGTGATAATTGTAGGAAGCCTAGTTTGTGAAGCTGACCTTGCATACAGAGAAATCTACCTCTGGCTACCGGAAGCTGGATAAAAAAGGGGAAGGCTACAGAATCCATGGCCAATAATATTCCTCAAAATCTGGGAATCGTTTGACTTGTGTCTGCTGGAACACTAGAAGAATCATTAATAAATGCTTAGCTTAAGGGGGGGGTCTGCGTCATTTGGGGCCAGGT